CAATTAATGACATTGTCCAACACATTAACGCTACAGTTCCAAACCCACATCAGATACTGAACAACTTGACTGAGAAACACTGTTGGTTCTCTACCATCGACTTGACTTCAGCGTTTTTTACAATTCCACTTGACGAAAGCAGCCGAGAGTTATTTGCTTTCACATGGAAAGGAGAGAAACTGTCCTACACACGACTACCTCAGGGTTTTGTACACTCACCACACATTTTTAACCAAAAGCTGAAAGAAATGTTGTGTTTGAATTTGGACAGTAGCACTGTGTGCATTCAGTACGTTGATGACATTTTGGTGGGACATGAGACCAGAGAGGGTTGTCTGGCAGCGACAAAACATGTGTCGGAAGAACTAGCTAGAAAAGGCATGAAAGTGTGGTGGCAGAAGAGACTGTGACATACCTAGGCAGAAAGATCAGCCAGGGAAAACGAGAGGTCTGTGAGAAGCACATTCAGGCAGTCAAGCATTATCCAAAGCCCACTACTGTGAAGGAGATGTTGGGGTTCATGGGTACTGTGGGGTTTTGTAGTGATTTTATTACAGAATACGCAGAGAAGTGCAGATGCTTGAGAGACATGATGAAGGAGGTAGGAGTGAAGAACTTGGGAGCCAGACTGATTTGGAACATTGACAGGGACAAGGCATTTGTTAATCTGAAACAGGAAACGATTGCAGTAACAAAGCTAGGAGTAAAGAATTATGGCAAACCATTTTACATCGATGTGGCACTGGGTAGAGGGGGTCTAGCTACTGCTGTATTGTTTCAGGAGGGGTCTGAAGGGAAGAGGCCGCTGGGGTGGTACTCGACCCACCTGGTGGGCCTGGATGATTGGACTGATTGTGAACAGAACTTAGAAGCAGTATTTTGGGCCTATCACAAGTGCAGCAGTTTGGTGTTAGGAGCACCGGTTGAGATAAGATCATCACATGAGGTATTAGGCGTGGTAGAGCAGGAAAGGTTCAACTTGTCTGTTGGTAGGAGGATGAAATACCTTGAACTACTGGAGAAATGTAACTTGTCTGTTAAGGTTCTTAAAACCAAGAATGAGGCTAATCGACTTTTGTTTTGTAAGGAAGGCACTCCACATTGCTGTATGGAGGCAGGAGTATGTGACATGAAAATCAGACCCGACTTGGGTGCTGAGGAGACTACTGAGAATGGTGCAAAGTGGTTGTTGATGGATCTTGTTCTAAAGACGACATGGGCCGTAGTCAGATGTGCTATGCTGTGATTGAGTTAGTCCACAGGGGGTCATTGCATCCTTTAAAATCTGACTTCAGGGACCTTCGGAGTGTCAAGGTCACTGAGGGCATAATGTCTGCCCAGAGAGCGGAGATTATGGCTCTCACTGAGGCTTGTAGAGCTCTGACTGGTCTGAGAGGGTCCATTTTCACAGACTCAGCATACGCGTTTGGTGTAGCACACTACTATGGGAAGATATGGGCCAATAATGGGTTACAGGAAGTCGAATGGTAAACCCATCACACATGAGAAGGAAATCAGGGCCCTAATCGAAGCATGTGAGTTGCCGGAGTCTCTAAACATAGTGAAATGTGCAGCACACCAAAAAGTAACTGACGTGATCGGGGTAGGAAACAGGACTTGGTAGATCAATATGCAAAAGCAGCTGCATGCGGTGAGCCGATTGTAGACAATGGTGTGATGGCGGTAACTAGGTCGGGGAAGAACAGAGAGGCTCAAGTGATACGGCCAGAAGTTGACAGCAAGCACATCATTGAGGCACAGGGACGGGCAAGTCAACAGGAGGTGTTGCATTGGAAGACCAAAGGTGGTGTTTATGTAGATGGAGTGTGGACGGGCAGACAGGGTCAAGTATTTATTCCAGAGATACTTGAGAAGATGGTTCTGATCCATGCACATGGTGGTGGTCATTCGGGTCGGGCTGAAATGCTTGATGTGATAACACGTAAACTTGACTTTTGGTTTCCAGCTATTCAACACAAAATTGACTGTTTCTTAGGCACGTGCGCTGAATGTGTAACTAGGAACATCAAGAGTGCCCCGCATGAACTCAGAACGTTTCCGAGTCCGAGAGGTCCGTTTGCACATTTGGTTCTTGATTTTGTTGACATGATTACACCGGTGAAAGGTAAGAGGTACATGCTTGTCATAGTGGATAGATTTTCTCGGTGGGTTGAGGCATTCCCTGTAGGCAAGCAGAGTGGTGATGTGGTGGCTGAGGCATTGATAAGGGACATAATACCAAGGTTTGGACTGCCTAGTGTTATTCAGTGTGACAATGGTCCTGGTTTTGTTGCTAACATTGTGAAACGTGTTTGTGATAGACTAAACATTGTTGTTAAATATGGAAGTGTTTACCACCCCCCGAGTCTCAAGGTCGAGTCGAACGAATGAATCAATCACTCAAAAGCAAACTTTCTAAAATCTGTGCACAGACAAAACTAAATTGGGTAATGGCCTTACCAATTGCTCTGATGAGCATTCGGGACAGTACTAACAGGGACACTAAACTAACACCGCACAAAATGGTAATGGGACGACCAATGCACAGGGGTGACCGGGAAGACATAGGTTTAGAGGACTTGGAGGGTCTGGGGTGTGAATTGGATAAATATGTTTCTATGCTAACCAGAAATCATGCAGCTGTGTTGAAAACAGAGTCGAGACCACGGGAGACGCCGGAGGAGGAGTGCAGACCTGGCAAGTTCGTGGTTGGTGATCTCGTTTACGTCAAAATGTACCGGAGGAAGTGGGACGAGCCGAGACGTGAGGGACCTTACAGGGTGGCCAGAGCTACCAAAACAGCGGTCCAAGTTGACGGTTCCCAGTTCTGGTTTCACACGTCACACTGTACCATGGCCAGAAAGCACACAGCTGATTGATTTCACTTCATTGACTGTTTGTTTTGTTTATCAAAAGGGGGTGTGTTGTATATCTGAGTAGTATCTGATAATCAAACAAACAGGACAGTTTCAATATTGAACCACAAGAGGTGAAGGGCATTTAATATATTTCAGTTTGAGTTAATTGTAGAGCCTTTGATAGAGTTTGTTTAATTGCACACTCTCTCCTACGCAGTATGGATTATAGGCATTTTGGAAGGGATGTGTGGGATGGAAAGCACCCAAAAATCTTAGGTTGCACGATAATAGTATCTTTCATTTTTGTTGGCTCAATGCTCTTAGCTCCTTATGATTGGGAAGGACGTGAGATGGATGCAAATAAGAATCAAACATTGACCATAGATGAGAAACACCAGGTTACACATAGTAGACCACGTAGGGAGACACCTACCTATGATGGCAAAATAACACTGGAGGTTGGAAAAGAGACAACCTTTGGGATGGAGGTATGTTTCACAGGACATAGAATACCGATGGGAGAATGTGTACGAACACGAGCGTACATACAGTGTGAAAGATGGGGTAGGACAAACAAGGAGCTAAGGAAATGTGCTGTGTTCGTGTGCAAGCGAAGCTGTAATCACTGGTCTAATCTGGTAACTCACTCAGAGAAAACTGGTAGTTGGGCTACCAAAGTGGGAGGTATTGTAGAGGAATCTACTAGATGGTCAGTGGTAAAGTTTGTAAGAGGGGACTGTGTGTCAATTAGAATAACAATAAATAAGGTAAAGGAAACAGATAGAGGAATATGGTATGTGGGTTTTGACATAGAGGGGAATGATCCTGTAATAAAACTAGAGGTGAAAACCGAGCTGAAAGAACCAGTAATCAAAAATGAGGACTCAGCGGTACGTGTAATGGAGGCTAAAACTTTGAAAGAACAATTGGGGGTTGAAACGGGGTTCAAAGATTCTAATTCGTGGTTAGAGTGTAGAGTAGATCACAGTAATTTCCTCTGGCATCTTATAGCTAGTAATGTCAGGTCAGTCATTGACTGTAGCTCCAAATGCCTTTGGAAAAAATATGTTTTGGTATTTGGGTTTTAGGTTTGTTTGTTACTTCGTGTTATCTTCAGAATCCTTCCTGCACACAATGTATATTTTGCTTTAGTTTTTAAAGGAGGAAGTTCAGCTCATGACATCCCTCTATTGGTTTGTTCTGTCTATCCCACCTGTTTTAGAGATCGATGTAGGAGAACCCATACTTTCCTTTCTGCTTTTGATCCTGTACGTAAGAATAAAGAATATGACACATTAAATGGTCTTTTATCATAAATTATTCAGACTGATATATTTGATGATGTTATGAGAACTGAAACATCCCTACATATCTCCTGGAAGAACAATATGGTTTTGATAAAAAAATGTGTACTTCTGTCTTATAAACGGAGGTGTAGTGCAGAGGAAGCCAGGAGTAGAGCTTGTAAATCCGTTCAAAAACAGGTTCCTGTTAATTAACATAAAACAACCGAGAACGGCAAAACATATACTGTTTTTAAATTATATTGTGCAATGTAGCGACTTACTAAATATTTAAAACAACAGCAACAATGTTCTGCAAAACAACACTCACCTAAATATGCAATGCAGTGACATGACGCGACGCATAGACACATTCAATAGTCCACACCGTGCCCCAAAACCCATTGACTTTAGTAACAAACATAATCACCCAAAACAGCTGTGACACTCTCATTAAGCTCTAGAAATTATAGCTGCATGACAAACCAAGTGATAAATGACCAAAATGTGCTCCACTCCTCCTAGCCCAATAGATGTCTTACAAGGACTAGGAGTCGTGACAACTTCTGTATTTCTATAATCAAAGATTAACTCTCATATAGCGCCACATTTTTTTTAGCTTGTGCAGTAACACATAGCTGTGAAATTCCAGCTAAATAAATATTTAACTCTTGTTCCTTAGAATTTCAGATGTATTTTTATTCAAAAAGGCAATATGACATAATTTAGATAAATGTGTCCTGATGTTGAGTGATTATTATTCCCTGAAATTGGTAAGATTTGACAAATAGACGTCTGTTGATGTACTGGAGTACGTCAAGTCTGGATCTTTTGATCATGATCCACTGATCGTTCCATAGGAGAAGTTGGTAGCTCGGTGGTAGAGTGCATGCTTTGTATGTATGATGTCCTGGGTTCTATCCCCAGCTTCTCCCCAGGTCAAACTTGGAAATTAGAATTTGTTCTCAATCTGACTAACTGGTAAAATAAATAAATGCACTGTTGATTGTAAAGAGTCAGAGATGGACGCTACTTCCCTGCTGGTTCAACTCTTCTAGTTAAATGGTCCAATGTGTTCTACAAGCAAGTTCACAAAAATGAACACTTACAGTATTGGTATAGCAGACATTCTACACTTATTTATGTATCTTGCCTTGCGTCTTAATAAATATCTGAGCAGGAACACACCCACATACTTATTGTCAAGTTAAAAAGAACAACCGTGACATGTGCCACATCCTGTCATGTATGTAATGTGCCAGGTTAGGTATTTGTACAGCCTGTTTAGGTTTCCTCTCACTGTGGACCCCAGAGCACAGTAGTACAGAGCAGAGTCTGTCACTTTAGCAAAGGAGATCTTTAGATCCACAATGGTCTTCTCTACAATCTGTTTGGCTGAAATTCGAGGATCCAGATTTAGGGCCGGTGTGTCAGACTTAGCTCTGTCCATGATAAGTGTGAGGAACTGAGGAGCTGATCCAGGATCCTGGCGATACCATTGCAGAGAATCTGGAGATGATGAGTAGATGCATGAAAGTGTAATATTACTACCTGCCAGAGCATATACTTCATTTCTTGTTGGTTCAATAGTCTGACCATTACAGCCACCTGTAAAATACAGAAGATGTTATTTTAATATCAGTATATAAAAAAAATGTGGGAATAAAAATTGCCATTGAAATTTAAATGACCACTTACATGCAAGTATTAAAAGCAAGAGCAATGTAGGGACTGACATTGTGTCTAAACCTGGAAGCTGCCTTTACACAGTACTACCATCTATATATATATATATGTAGCTGATCTGCCTTATTGAGCCCTGAACACCATTTCCTCAAGATCTTGTATAGCTCCACCCCATAATAAAGAGATTCAATGTATAAACAGTCATATATAAATGCCTTTGTCGCCCTCTATTGGATCATTGAGTTTGATTAATTGAATACACTTCTCTTGACAGAAAAGCCACAACAAAAATGTATGCCATTTGGGGAAAACAGTAGGTCTGTTACTTCACCAGAGAAGAACTTCATACACTTCCAACGCAACAACTTCCACTGCAGAAGATTTTGAGGAGACTCCAATGAGGAGATGAACCATGAACATGTCAGTACAGGACAGCTTCATGACATCACTCTCTAAATCAAAAAACGAAAATGTTGAAATTGCTTTAATTTTGTTGTTTGACACCTGCATGACATGTAATGATTACATCCTACTCACCCATGAATGTTAATACTAAACTAGTAACCTGGTAAACTGTTGGTAAGTGTTATATGCAAAAAAGATTTAACCATAAAAAGAGTAAACAAAAGTCAATGACTACCCGAATGACTACCCTGTTTCTCATTTTAAGTTATTGTTTCATTTTCTCTGCCTCCATTTCACATGATGTTGACTAGAACAAAACAGCACATGACACATAGTTATGTTAACACACAGAAACATGCACACAGAGTTTTTGTAAGGGGGCTGTCCACTAATCAGCCATAACCTGATGACCACAGACAGGTGAGGTGAACAACACTGATCACCTCGTTATCATGGCACCAGTCAGTGAGTTTGGATATATTAGGCAGCAAGTGAACATTTTGTCCTTAAAGTTGATGCGTTAGAAGCAGGGAAAATAGTCAAGCATAAGCATCTGACCGAATTGTGATGTCTAGATGACTTGTTCAGAGCATTTTTCCAAAACTGCAGCTTATATGGGGTGTTCCCGGTCTGCAGTGGTCAGTGCCTAACGGTAGTGGTCCATAGAAGGAGAAGTGGTGAACCGGTGATGGTGGTGTGAACCGGTCATAGTGCCATGATGCACGTGGGGAGTGAAGGCTGACACGAGCCTCTGTAGATCAATTTGCTGAAAAAGTTCACGCTGGTTCTGGAGTCTCTGGATCATCTGGAGGACGGAATTCGTCTTGGGATTAAGGTCAGCATGAAATTGTACACCTGTACAATTACGGAGTTCACTAATAAGCAGCAGCAGACTTCTCATAGTAGCAGAGTCATTTCACACTGAGAGGAATTTGAGTGTGAATATTATGGACATTAGTGTGTGAAATGTTCTCAACCTACGGGGCTAGAGACGTCAAAAGCATGAACTAGATAATCTATATTAGAGTTTTACCAAGAAACATTTTTTAGACAGAGAAACTGGTCGTTTTTGGAAACGGCATGCAATTCCACTAAACCATTTTCAATCCATATAATGGTGTATGTCAAGATCGCCGTTATTATATATCTAACTCTTTGTCTAACCTGTTGCCCTAATCACTTTCTTTACTTAAGTTCCTTGTTTTTCCAGTGGGTCTTATCGATTGTTTATTGGCATATGATTCATGTTTCGGTTGCTTCTGTTCTATCAATGTTTAATGTTTGTTTTTGTTATTGATATGTCTACTTAAAAAATGACCTCCGTTCGCCCTCTGCTAGTGCCTGCCTGGAGTACAGAGCAGAGTCTGTCACAGCAAAGGAGCTCATAAGATCGACACTGTCACTATGGCCCAACGCTGACATGCAAGGAGGGACAGGTTTCTGGACATATCCTGATTTAATGATGAGAACAGGATCTCTGGTTTAGACCTGTGTTACTCAGATACCACTGTGGATTATTTACAGAGCCACTGTAGTGACAGGATACTGAGACATTATCACCCTCATCACCACCACTTCAGGATTGGTGGGGTTAATGTAATCACAATGAGAAAATAATAATATGAATCATACATTGTTTACATGACTTATTCTTTAGTTGTGCTCATATCAAACTACAAACAATATATTGACTACAAAAATCACAAATAACTGTGATAAGAAATGAAGGAAGCAGCCACATGGGTACACTAACAAAAAGACTGACCCAGCACAAGCAACTGTTGTTGCTACTTCTTATATTTACAAATGCCTTTCAACCACGGTTGAATAAATACATGATGATAATAAAGACCCCTTCAGAGTGGAGAACCTTTTGCTCAGTACATTAATGAACACTGTTCCTGGTGTGTGATGGGAACATAGTGCAGGTGTCACCACAATTCTCTGATCTATTCCTCTGGCATTTGATATGAATTTGTGGTTTTATTTTTTATTTAATTACACAACACAACAAAGCATTTTGTTCTGTAAGTTTTTGTACAGCCTCTCATACACTTTGTATCACTGTGTATAAACCCCGAGAGCACAGTAGTAGAGAGCTGTGTCTGACAGGGTTAGATCTGGGATGACCAGTTCAGTTGACGTATCAGATGTTGTTGATTTATATCTCGTATCAGGGATGTGTTCATAGTCTCTATTTGATTTGGCACCTTTCCACAGTATAAACTGAGGTGCCTGGTTAGGATAATGACGATACCAATACAGGTAAGGGTATTTGTATGTGGTATCATATGTACATTTCAGAGTCACAGATTCTCTCTCTGTACTGATCACTTCATCCTCTACAGGAGTTATTTGATTACCTGCAGTCAGCCCTGTAAAGATACGTAAACAAAAATGATCTTAAATTACCAGTAAAAAATGATATTAGATTAGTGAAATGTGAAATTAGTTGTTTACCTGAGACTAGAATGAGAACCAGTAGTAGATATTTCTCCATGTGGAACAAATGCATAGTAGATCTGAAATCTGCCATTGTTACTTGTTTTCTGCAGAGAGAAATGGGATGATACCTGACCAGACAGGAAACAGATGGTTAATTGGTTCTTATGACAGTGAGTCATTGAGTTTTATGTCTTTGTCAGGATGGGTGTGAGGCTTCTCAGATACAGATCTTAGTATTTCTGTGTGTTTCCAGTCACAGTAGGCCTCTGACTGTCACTTCAACAGAGACATTTTTCTTTTTTCTCTTTGTTCAGTTCACCAGTGAAGATAGAGTTAAATTATCAGCTTTTGTCACAGCCCAAGTGTAGTGAAAGATAAGCAGAATTGTATTGAAATGTATTGAAAAGCTTTCTGGTACAGGATATATAATCCTCTATCCCAGACTCTACAAGACACAAACAAATATATATACATACATTCACATTTTCAGTTTTACAATATAAAAAAACACTTTAGTTAGTTCTTCTAACATTTCATAGTTGAAGTACATAAATTAATTGCATAGATTTAAAATGTATACATTACACCTTCCGATAGGCAAAATGCATCCAGCCTATTCTTAAAAGAATTAATAGAAGGGGAACGCGCCACTTCTTCTGGGAGGTCAGTCCATGATTTTACTTCACGGAATGTGATTTTTTTTTTCTCTATTCAGATAAGCATGTTCTGGGGTAAAGTTTTAAAGAATTCCCTCATGTCTCATACATATTATTCTATAACTGAAAAATAGGCTCAACAGTTACATCATATATTCCCTGTACAAGCTTATACACCTGAATCATATCTCTCTGTATCTCCTAAATATGAGAGTCGGAAAACTTAATTTCCTCAATCTTTCTTCATAGGAGAAGTTTTTCATTCCTGGAATTAATTTAGTAGCTCTTCTCAGGACCCTTTCAATTTTCTCTACATATTTCAATTTATATGGACACCAGACAGAGCTAGCATACTCAAGGTGAGATCTAACCAGGGCTTTATACAGGGGTAAAAATATATCCTTGCATAAGTTTTGAAATTTTCTTTTTATTATCGCCATCATAGATGTAGCTTCTTTAACTTTTTCAGAAATATGTGTGTTGAATTCAAGCAAACCATCTACCACAACACTTATATCCCTCTCCATAGTTGGCTACAGGTTTTTTTTTATTCCCAATATGCAGAGGTGGGACAAAGTCATTGTTATGCAAGTCACAAGTAAGTCTCAAGTCTTTGCCCTCGAGTCCCGAGTCAAGTCGAGTCAAAGATGAGGCAAGTCCCGAGTCGAGTCACAAGTCAAAGCCAACAAGTCTCGAGTCGAGTCCAAAGTCCTACCATTTTAGTTTCGAGTCATTTCAAGTCA